GTCAGAGATTTTTCACTGAAAACATCTGCGGCTGCAGAGTTAGTGATAACTCTCTGTAGGGTAGTCACTACCACTGACACCTTTGATGTTACACATTCATTTGATCAGCTATTAATATGAAAACGTAATCAGCTTTAAACAACATCTTTCTATCTTAGAACAAATAAAAACGAAGCTTTCCATCCCATGTTTTAAACTTGAACCTACATTCAGTCTGTATGATTTGCGTGGAGCTAGCAGAGTCCAGTTTAGTGTAATCTCCACTTTAGTTAACACTTAAGTGGAGATAAGCATCCCATTCTCCTTAGTCTGGCCTGCAGCAGATACAGAGCTTGGGCTGCTCTGATAAACACTGAATGGGCGTCTCGGTGTTATCTGAGCTTCCACAAGGCCAGGCTGGACGAAGGCAAGTACATGTTAAGATAGAGTTAGATAGGCAAATGGAAGGAGAGAGAGAGAGTGAGAGCAGGATGGAATAAGTGGAGATGATAAGTAGGTATGAGGGTAAATTGGAAGACATATTTTTATGAATTTCTTTGTTGAAGGAAAACAATTTTAAAGTGGCATAATGTTTTAAAGCCTGGAGTTTGGCATCATGGCTGTCACCATGTTGTTTTTTGCAACCAGCAGAGGTGACCTACTGTGAGTTGAGTTGCTCTCGTTGGCTGCGCTTGGTTTCAACTTGTAGCATGATGGCAGCTTGCCATAAAGATTTGAGAAGAGAAGTAGTCAACACGGTAACAGAATGTTGATTGATATTTGATCAGCACTGCCTAGTTTGACAGTTTGATCTGAGTTCAGTGCGCTAAGCTGGACAGACTCACTGAGAATGACCTGTCAATCACAAGGTTGCCACGCCCTAAAGCATACCCTGCCTTGTCTATCCAGTGTTTGTGGATCCAGTGTTTGTGGACTAAAAGTCAGAATATTTTTTACCTCTGCTGCCAAGTCTGTCCCATGTGACTGCTCCATCTTCATGGACATGCTGGAATAGTATTTTATGCTTACAGTACTAATATTTTCAACATGTTGTGTTAAAAGAGGCATGAATTCCAGATTTACTAGTTAGTATTTGTTTTACTTAAGTTGCAGTGGCTCAATTCCGATCTCAGAGTAGATAATATGAGTTAAAGGCCTGATCTGTAATCACAGGATGGACAAAGGAACATGACTTTCCTAATTACATATGACATGTATCTATACTGTAAGCATCATGTAAACACATACTGTATAAGAAGTGTTTCTATTTCTCAGTGTGAGATGTCTGTCAGATGTTTGACAAAAGCAAGGATGTATGATTGCCTCCTGTGGCCTTCACTAGACCTTGAGCCCTCAGTGTGTCCTCAGTTATAGCTCCTTCATAGACACACACACAAACAGGGAAATGGCAGTGGGGCTTAATGCAAGTAAACCCAAAGTCTGTAAAGGGTCAGTACAAGTTATCTTTCATTACAATTACAATTTGTTTTAATAGAAAAACATCAACTTATAGTAGGGCGACTTCAACATTCAGGTACTACAAGAAAGCAAAATTTTCTGAAAATAGTTTTGAAAATACCATTGCTAACATCATACTTAAAGCTGCAGAAGGTTACTTTCATAAAAATAATTTTTTGTCATATTTGCTGAAATTTTTACTATATTCTGACAGTAGTACATGAACCAGATAATCTGTGAAACCAACAACTAATCAGAGCCAAGAAAGATGGCAAGACGCTTTGGGTTGGAGGCTTGAAGATAGTTAATTGAGTCTCATTCCCAGCATCAATATTTGATGACCTGGGAATGAGACTCCTCAATTAACTATCTTCAAGCCACCAAGTCAAAGTCTCTTATACTACTGTCAGGATGTAGTGAAAGTTCCAGCAAATATAACAAAAAGTTATTTTTATAAAAATGTCCTACTGTAGGTTTAACAACTTTACAACAACTATACATTCTTATACCATAATTCTATATCATATTTGTTGTTCGCAGCCAAACAACAAAGGCCTGAAATTTGTTCTCACCTTATCAAGTCTTTGCATGCACCTGACTATTATTTTGTGCTAAATAATACATGTTAAACAACAGAATTGTGTTTTTATTTAATCATATAGTAAAAAAAAAAACATGACGGCAAACAGCCATAAGATTGTGACCACTGACAGGTGAAGTGGATAACACTGATTATCTCCTCTCAGTGAGTGGGATATATCAGGCAGCAAGTGAACATTTTGTCCTCAGAGTTGATGTGTTAGAAGCAGGAAAAATGGGCAGCGTGAGGATCTGAGCCACTTTGACAAGGGCCACATTGTGATGGCTAGACGACTGGGTCAGAGCATCTCCAAACCTGCAGCTCTTGTGGGGTGTTCCCGGTCTGCAGTGGTCAGTACCTATCAAAAGTGCTCCTAGGAAGGAAAAGAACCAGAGACAGGGTCATTTTTTTTTTTCATTGAGCTGCCGGCTGGAAAAGTCCCCTTGCTGGCAGATCCTTGGTTTAGGTCCAGCTTTACTGTTTCAAATGTGCTGTTCTTGATTATTTACTTATTTACCCTTCATGTGCCTCTTTTGTCAACATAAATTTAAGAATTTTCCCAGAGACATCAGAGGATTACATGAAATCTAAAATGGGGGAATCATCTCTCCATCTTTGTTTGCAGCAGATAAAGCGGTGTGCACGTCTTATTGTGCATATTCAGAAACCAGCAGTCATGCCCCAACAAAAGCCGCAGTGATTGTTTATAGAAGGCTCTCATCCTTTTGTGATATAAAAAAGATTGTGTGTGTGTGTGCTAGCATGCGTTTGTGTATTCATGCACGTGAGTTTACACAGCTGTCAGAGACTGGGCAACGACATAGACGGTGTATTGTTTGTGCTGCTGTACCTCCCTTTGTCAGTGAAAGACGCTGTGATATCAGTCGTGCAGTCAGATTACTGTGCTGAGGCAACAAGGAAAGATTTCCCCTTATTCAAACATTCACATCATCATTATGGATCTGGCTGCTAAATGCAAACAAACTGCTCCTTGAAGTGTGGACCCATCACAAACAACTGTTGCTGTACCCTTTGATGAAAAGGAAGAGAAAACAAAAGGTGTTAACCACAAACTGTGATGGTGTAATCACTCCCAGGCCTAATTTTAGAGGATATTGAGAGTTTTTTTTTTAATGAAGACATTTCTCTGTGGATTTGGGTAGAGCCATAGACAAGCTTGATGGTCTCCTGAGACAGGTTGGATGGGGAAAAGAGGGAGAAGGGGATATAGGCGCTCAAGGCTAGAAAAGACCAACTAATTAGATAATACTGCGCTGCATAGGGAAAATAATATTCTTCATGTAATCGAGAGAGCAAGCAAAAGAGAATAAGGGAAACCAGTGGTACCAGAATGAATGAAATGTCACAGATTCTCAATAAGACACACATTAGGGCAACTCCAGAGACCAGTGAGAGTGAGAGTTACAGATCTGTCTCTGTTGTACACACAGGCAAAGTGTCTGTAAAGGCCCAGAATCCCACCTAGATAAGTATAAAATATTTGCTGCAGCTGCAGAGACATATTGAGGCAATAGGTAGGCATCAGTGTGCTTCATACCTTACTACTAGTAAGGTTTTATTTATTTATTACTACTAGTAAGGTATATATAAGTTACTAGTAGTATCTCAACTTAAAGGACCAGTGTGTAGGATTTAGTGGCATCTAGCGGAGAAGTTGCATCTTTATTTGACGACCTGGGAATGAGAACAGGCTGTGAAACATGCAGGAGAAACTATAGTGGCCATGAAACTCTGTAGAAACATGGTGGTTCAACATGGCGGACTGCAGGGAAGGCAACAAGTGGTGTCAGTAGATACAAACAGCTCATTTTGAGGTAACAAAAACACAATGATTCTTATTATGAAAATATACCTATGAATATTATATTACATTTCTGACAATAGATTCTCCTAAATGTTACACACTGGACTTTAAACTGCTGTTTAAATTCAAGCTATGTCAAAACATATAATCTTCCTTTAAGCTCAACTATTTAAGGGGTTGCAATTGAAATGTCCCAACATAAAATTATTTAGGAATTATTATTTTATAATAATAAGCAATTAAATAATAAATTAATCCTCTTTCTCCCTCCAGGCATGGAAACATTTGATTTCTGCAACTTTTTTATTGGATCATGGTGATCAATTCTTTTTTAATGCATGCCATTGTCCTTCTATATTTAATTACTGGTTGGGGAAATAATAATGACAGTTGTATCTGTTTGTATTGTTTGTATTTACTCCTGTAACAATGCTTATCACTAGAAAACTGCGCTCTCTGAATGCTGGACTACTTGTGGTTCCTATAGTCTCTAAAAGTAGAACAGGAGCCAGAGCCTTCAGTTACCAAGCTCCTCTCCTGTGGAACCAGCTTCCAGTTGTGGTTCGGGAGGCAGACACCCTCACCACATTCAAGAGTAGGCTTAAGACATTCCTCTTTGATAAAGCTTATAGTTAGGGCTGGATCAGGTGAGTCCTGAACCATCCCTTAGTTATGCTGCTATAGGCCTAGACTATCGGGGGATTTCCCATGGTGCACTGAGCTCCTCTCTTCCTCTCTCTGTAGGAAGTTTTGCCTAATGGTTTATAATCTAATAATAGAAATTCAAAAGTTATCAAATAATGGTCAGATAGGAAAGGATTATGTGGGAAGACTATTAAATGTTCAATATCAATGCCTTATGATAGAACAAGGTCAAGAGTGTGATTAAAACAAGATGCCACTCTTATGTCTGTGCGCTAAATTTGAAGATGGAGCCAGAACATGGTTAGCTTACCTTAGCATAAAGACTGGAGACAGGGTGAAAGAGCTAGCTAGCTACCTTGCTCTTCCTAATGGTAAGAAAATCCACCAGTACCAACACCTCTAAAGCTCAAAAATGAACGCATTGTATCTTCTTTGTTTAGTCCGTACAGAAACCGCGTCAGCGAAGGACAACTTGCCATTTCATGTGGGGTTATGTGCGGGCTACTTCTCACCCTGAGTAGTTGCCAGGCAATAAGTGGAGAGTCTGCTGATGTCTTTGTTTAAACATGGTCATTCAGGGGCAACTGGATGGCGGGAATCCCACCTCGACCTAAGACCAGGACACACAAAATGTATAATGTTTGTATTTTTTTCCACCTTTGAAAAACGTGGGAAAAAAAGTTTGGGCATTTTGTGTTAGCAAGTTATATAATATTTCTGTCATATCTCTCTTTTGGCTGGAAACGTATTTTAATCAGCAATAAGAGAAAATAAAACTCACCTGGAAGAAAACATGAATGCTTTTAGAGGTTAAGAACATGGGTAGTGATGTTGCAGTTTGACATCATTAACAAGTTTAATTAATGTTGTTGATTGTTCAAGACAAGATAATCAGCCTTTCAAGCAGATGTTGCTGCAATACAGTGTCTCTTCATAGATCTGTGTGGTCACTGCTGGTGAAGACGTGAAGAGATCAGTAAAACCAGCTCCTCTGTTGTTTCCATCGCTGTGGTTTCTGTGGTTGCCATGGTCACACAGTGAGCTGAAGCAGAAAAGTTGAACCACCATAAACTTTGATGCTGTGTTAAACAGCTGTGTGCATTAATGAGAGCGGCAGCTGCCCTTTCACTTCTTGCCAATGTGGCGACAGCTGGCTGTCTGAAAGCACCTTTACGTGCATGGCTGACTGTCAGAACATCTAAGCAGTCTTCAAGTCACAAGGTGTCAGCTCTTAGCATGCTAAAGATCAAGCTTAAGATCTCTGCTGGTACACCCTAATGACAGGACCCCGACCCCGCCCTTGAGAGAATGACTGGAGTGGTGTATGACATTATCATGACACATGACAGCTGTGGGGAAACAGAAAACAGTGAAACAGAAAACCTGGATAAGAGACTAAAGCCACTCGCAGCAACATCCAAAAGTACCAATCCTATGGAAGGCCACCATCTCTTTGCCTATGACTTCTTGATATGTTGACAACTCATTGTCACTCCCAACTCGCTGAATGCCGCGGCTTGGTCACTGGCCCTCCGCTTCAACGTGTGTGGCGCTGTAAACATCCCCCCTGCATTATTTCTGCATGCACAGGGCTCTGTGTTCAAGTTAGCAATAATAATGGGCCGATCACACAGAGACACATTGCTAAAAACACGTTGCCTGCAAAACCATTGTTTTTCCTATGGTAGGACCATACCATAGAGCCTGGTATGCGCTCTTCTCTTTTTTAGATGCGCATAAACATCACACTTGGCCCAGAGAGCCAATCAAATCAAGCAAGAGGCTTTCCTACTTCACCACTTCCTTTTGTTTACTATGCAGGTAAATAGGTTAGCTAGCTAGCTAGCTAGCTGTTGGACTATGAGAGAGCTATGGAACAGGGTCATAGTGGGGGTAAACTCTAGTAACGTCAGTTATTCACATCTTTGAAATGAAGCCTGACTCTAATCAAAAGACCCACACCTGCAGTATTTTTCTCCGACACTCCTTGCCGAGGCGTTTTGGAAGCACCCACGCCTGTAGTGATGCATCTCTGTGTGGTCGGCCCTTAAATATTCAACATTAGGTAAGGCTGTCAAAATAAAGCTTGTTAGGTTGTTAATTTTAGGTTTAGGCAAAAAAGTAGGCTACTTGGGTTAAGGTTAGGAAAAGACTGTAAGTTACTTTACGTACCTGATGTAACTTCAGTAGCTTACATTATATGTATATGTATAAATATATACTTATTAAAGAGCAGCTAAAATCTGCCTGTAGCCCGAAACTAAACCTGACCTGTTATTTGGTCTTTTGATTGGGAATCTCGGATACAAAAAAATAATTCCTGTCAAGATCAAACCAGTTTCTTTAGAAGCTTTTGGGCTCATACGTGGGTGGCTAGTGGTGGCAATCAGCCACAGCACATTAAGACCAAGGGAAGGAAACACACAAGCCAGTGGAAATCTGTTTCCAGCCTCCTCATTCTCTCATACACACCTCCCTCTGACGGATTAACCAGCTAATTAACGACCAGAGCTTTCTAATTGATGTGACATGTGACTGACTTCCCTAGGAGGGGAGTTGGCTTTGTGAAGGTGACGCTTTACACTCAAAGGACAGAGTTCATGGAGCAAACACAGGTGACTGACTCCAAGACAGTTTACTCAACAGAATTATGACACAGTTTTACAAAAAACAATGATGACAGATCTGGGCTAAAGACTTAAATAATAAGGATAAAGCCACTCAGTACCTACGTCTATGAATGGGGTTTAAAAGCCAGGTTCCTCTGACTATGGGTTGTAGCAGTTTGGCGAGCAGACGAAGCACAGAGTAAAAACAGAGTAAAGAATTAAAAAGACACAGAGAAGAAGAATAAAAGAGCGTGGAGAGGCAGATCAGACTGAAAGGACAGACAGATAGAAAATGGGAAAGCACACAATAAGCCACAAATGCTTGAAGGACCAAAAGAAATTGGAGAGCGATGGCAGAGAGGGTAAATAGCATGTGGATGAAAACACAGTAATTGTCAACAGTCACACAAGCATAACGGGCATAGATAACAGTGGGTAACGTGAAATTACAGACCAGCTGTGCAGCATGCAAACACTTCCCTCTCCTACCCAGTGAATTTACTACTCACTTACTCCTATATGCATTATGAAGCAGCAGGGGCTAATGTTAATCAGTAAATGCATTCATCTGTCCAACACACAGATCCACACAATGAGAACCATTATAGCCATAACATTTGCTGTGGATATTTCAAGAGAGAGAATTAATTAATTCACTTAATTAATTTGATATTGTGCACAATATGAAAAATGAAGAAATATGAGAGGAGTGTTTGCTGATTAGACCCCATCATCAAGGGGGCAGTGGGGCTATGAGCTGTACAAGATTATTTCCCCAATGGAGTCTTGACACTGGTGGTGGTGGTGAAAATCAGTGGCTGAATATCTGGATGGAGTTGAGTGGGATTTCTGATGACCCGATTGGAAGGATCCATGAGCACCCATGGGTCCTTGTCATGGGTTGTGATGAAGACAGGATGGATTGCATTTTTCAATAACTGAGAGAGGTTTAAAGCAAAAACTCATAAAATGTTCAGAATGGAAAGGGCACATGGAGATGGTCACCAAAATCATTAGGAATAATTTTCCTGGGTCCACGAATATCACCCGCAAATTATATTAATTGTATTATTAAATTATATGGTCAGAAGTTGTAGTGATATCCTGCTCTGGATCCAAGCTGGACAGATGGGACAGACAGACCTACCTTAGAGATTTATGACTCTATTTTATGAACAAACAGAAAATGAGGAAAACGGAGAGAGGTCTGGAGAAAAGTAGCAGAAAGGACTGGAGTAAGTTCTTAGATCAGTCCAACTTTGAGCTTTCAGACAATCATTGCACAGGCACATTGTAGCTAATTAGTTAACCTTGTAGTCACATCAAATAGTTTAAATGAGCTAATTTTGTGTTACATAGGCTATTTGAGGCAGTTCTTGATGAGTGAAAACGGATACAAACAGTATGTAGCTTGTTTTAAATTAGCTGAATCAGTCACATAAGTAACTCTGGATCTTATGTAGCTGGAACTGCCAGCCTTGCAGTCATTTTGCCACAGGTTAGCTGAAACTTGTGTATTTCTTTTCACCAAGTGAATGATGATTTTTTTTCTGTTATAAAGTATACATTACTTAAAAGAAATTGTTTACTTTTGGTTTCACATGGGACATGAACAATGTTCTCCTGGGTGTTCCTGTGTTTGTTTAAACCATTTATCCACCCCAACCCAGTCACCTGACTTCAACGGCGCTTCAAAACATGGGCATGTTCAGAAATTACACTACAGTGGTACCTACAGCATCCTAATTTGAATTGCAGCTGCCACTAACCAAGCTGCCATGTTTGATGACTTGGGACTGAGACCGGGCTGTTTTGACAGACAGCTAATATGTGAATTTATAAAGAGAGTTTTAATGTCAATAATGAAGTTTTCAGTTTTCAAATACAAACTTTTATGCCCAGTATTTGCTGTGTTTCAAGTGTGAAATTATTGTTTTTACTTGTAGCCATTTTATATGTGTCATATCTGACTTTTTCAAAAGTAAAATAAAACATGTTTTGAATGACCTTCATATTTCAATCTAAAGACAACAGACAAAGAAATCTGTGATATTGTGTAATTCACCAGGTAAACACAACAGACACATATACCCGTGATATAACAGGGAGTTTGCACTGGAGCAGCAGCACTTGCATATTGTTTATTGGTAATGCATTTCCAATCTAATTTAGCCTACTGTATGAACCCTGACCCTTCACACAGGAGACCATCACATGGTCTGCAAGAACACACAATAGGCATTCAGTTTGCGGGTAACAACAAGCAGTGTTACGCGGGCTGTAAAAAGTACACATTAAGAAAAAACATGATGGAAAATTATTGGAAAATATTGCATTGTATTCCAACAATTAGAGAGCAGACTGCAACATTTTGTGGCGTAGTTATAGGCGTTTCCCATGACTGTTCAGCCAGATACCCTGGAGTGTGTGTGAGAAAGAGAGTGTGGGGTGGGGGAGCATGTGTAGACCTGTCTTCGAGCTGCAGTGAATTTCCCATCGAGAGTTAGAGGAGCTGGATTAAGGACAAGAGTAGATTAGTGTGGGGTGAGGGAATAGGGTTGCATGGTGGGGTCACAGATGACAAAGCCAGTCGTGTAGCACTAACATCAATACAGTGTCAACTGTAACTTTCAGTTAAGAAAAACTATTATAAACTCACACTAATTACATACTGAGAGATGTTTCTTTTCTCATTTAAGGTGTAAACACACAGCTTATATGATATAGCTTGATCATGCAGCATCCTCTGTTGGCAAATGAAGCCGACTGCAGTTCCTCAAACGACCACTAGATGCTGGCTACAGAAGTCGGTCAAATCTCCATAAGGCCCCATATTAATATTTCCAACTTTACAGCAGAAATAAACATATTTACAGCCTGGTTAAAAAAAACTGATTTTGGTCGCTATAGCTAATTTACCTGTTTATGACACATGTGCATTTGTTACAATGTTATGCACATTTTTATGTAACTCACCCTTTTAAATAATATAAAGGCTTAA